ATGTTATAAATATCAATTTTTGCATAAGGACACTTTAATATCATGTGTCCTTACATACAAAATAGTTATTCTCTATAATTATTGAAACATTAGGGTTTTGAAACATTTAAATAAGTATCTACACAAACAGCAAAACAAAATTGGCTAAAAAAAATACACTAGTTTTTAACAATAACCAGTTTTTAAAAAGATATTATGAAAAATACCGAAATGTGTTTTTATGATTCACACCTGGAATATAAACAAGTTTGTGCAATAGGGTCGAGGCATAGTGGGGACGGAGAGTATTCGTGAACAATGTAAATTCTAAAAGCATTAAATGTTTGTAAGACAATGCCTAAGTTACTGTTATGAATTCTAGGGATTCTTATTGTATTTTAAATACAGGGTGATCCACATATCGTGAACCACTCAATAGGGTTTAATAAGAAATTACAACTTTTTTTTTTTATATTGTTTTTATACAATGTGATTATAATTTTCACAATTTTTTTTTAATTTTTACCTCCCTCCCAACTTAGTTTTTTTGATAGCAACTTTTGAAACTTAACAGGTACGGTACATATTTGATTACTTTTTAAATCGAGAATAATGTACTGGAAATTTTGACCGGTCGATAACCAGTTTCGGATAACTATTTTTAAAGTTACAAGAGGTTTAAAGTTAGGATGAGAAGGGAAGTGCGGTTGGGAAATGCGCGCAGATAAAAATAATACTTCATACCACCTTTCCTTCTGCCCTCAACTTGAGACTTCAATAACTTTAAAAATAATTATCCGAAACTGGTTATCGACTAGTCAACATTTTTAATACATTACTCTCAGTTTAAAAAGTTAATGTACTGTATGCGTTACCATTTATTTTTCAAAAGTTGCTATCCAAAAAACTAAGTTGAGAGGGGTAAATAAAAATGATTTATAATTTTAATTTATTACAAGGAGTTTTTATAAAATTGTCGGGTAAATTGTAGCGTTAAGAATTATCCAGATAAATTTATCTAGATAAAAAAAATTGTAATTGTTATCTTATCTAGATAAATAAAACGGTAACCTTAGGCAAATTGTCTACGTAGAAATTGTAATTATTTTTTTATTATTAATTTATGGGTTTTACAAAAACAGGTCTTGGGATCCGACGAAGAGCATAATGTAATCCAAGCCTAAAAATATTATTGAATAATTCTGTAATCTGTGATAATACTTTTTTAACCTATAGTTTAGAAATATAAATATTTTTAAATGTTCTGTTATGGTTTGACCGGTACACTTAGGAAAAAAAATGTTAAGTGCAATATTTGTTTAGGTTTTTATAAGTAATTAATTTATAGCAGTTATCAAATTTTAAAATTACATTTTCTGCTAAGTATACATCGCAAAAGTATATATTTTATGAAGGTTAAAATTCTATTTATCTTTATCTTTTATCTAGTTAAATTTTGAATGAATTATCTAATATCTTATCTAGATGATATATTACTCAATTATCTGCTATCTTATCTAGATAACTTTATAGTTATATTTTCCCAACACTGGTAAATTGTAATCCAATATTGTGTTATTGTTTTTTTTTTTTTATCAAAACCAAGCTTTTTTTCACAGCGTCTGTTGTAATGTAAACAAATGGTAAGTTCCTATAGGTATCACAAACTTTGAATATTATAAGAATCTTCGTATAGAACAAAATCAATTTCTATGATTTTACAATATGAAAAGAAAAAATGTAATATCTTAATAAACCCTATGAGATATTGAGTGGTTCACGATAAGTGGATCACCCTGTATACGTATATAGCATACAAGTATTTATAATTTACAGTGTACTACAAACATTGTTTATACATTTTAAGGTACTACGTTTAAAAAAAACGTATACAAATATTATATGTATTATGTTGTGGGATAACGTTTATACATATGTATGTCACTATTGTCAAAAACATTATACGACATGATTTATGATAAACAGTAATCACTTGAAAGCACATCCTAATTTTTCTAAAATATAAAATTAATATTATAATGGGGGGGGGGGGGGTAATAGTTGAAAAAATTTACTTCTTCACAGTTAAAAATATTGAAAAAATTTTAACACTTTTTCCTTATTACGCATTTTTGGGTGAAGTTTTAAGGCGTTAGGTCTGAAAATTAGAACTAAGGTAGATCTGTTGTCAAACATTTTTTTTTTTTATTAAAGAAAAACAGAAAAAAATAAATATAAAGGGCCAACTACACCTTGACTGTAGCATGAGTAAATCAACAAGTAAGACTTAAAAAAGAATATCTTTTGCCTTTTTTCAATCTATAACTACATGTAAAAAGGAGGTTTCAATATTATAAACTACTTAGACCAAATAAGAAGCTCCCCCGAAAAAAACCAAAAAAAGGATGGCATTTTCTTTGTTTTGTTTTTTTAAGTGTACCTATTCGTATAATTAAAATTTTAAAAGTGATTCACAATGTAAACTAGGTGTGGCTATATATCATATAAACATTTTTCAAGATTCCTGATAAGAAAATAACAAAAATAAACACAATCTTTATATATACATTTCTTCTGTCCGTGTGTAAGTATGCAAACTCCTCCTGAACAGCTGGACAGATATTTATGCAATTTTGTGTGCGCGATTAAGATGATTCGAGTAAGGTTTAGATTCACAATATGATCCGATAGAACATGTTTTTAATTTTAAATTAATCAAAATGATTAATTATGATTTTCAATAGTATCGATAGTTATCAATACATCTTTATGGTTTTTTATACCACAGGGATATAGTGATATACGTTGACAATCTAAACAATTATCGTACACCCTTTCTCCCAGAAGGGGTGGATTTTTTTTCTTTCCTTCGCTGCTTCATGCAAAGTTTTAGGGGTTTATGTATAAAAATTAGACCAAAGGTAGATCTAGAATAAGGATACAACATATTATACAATTTCCACACAGATCTGTAGTCAAACATTTGTATTATTAAGGAAAAACAAAAAAAAAATAGAAAAAAATTACACTTTGACCGTAGATGAATTCAGGTCAAAGCGGTGCTGTTTATACCAATTGCTGTTGTTTGAAAAAAAAAACGATTTAGTAGTATTATCAAGTGTCCAGATGTGTTTATGGCCCAAACATGCTGTGGAAAATATACTATGATATATAAAAATTTAGGATAACAACGCCGCGGTGATTTAGAAAAACCTGTGGGTTAGAGTAAATAAAAAAAACACATGTAAAATAAATATGTTTTGTAAATCGCACGACTCGTTACCTGATTTCGAAACCTGTGTATAAAACTTGCATTTAAAGACTATTTGAACAAAGCGAACCGAACTGTGCTTATACTTGTGTATTTAGACACAAAAATATGCGGTGGCAAGTTCATTTTAATACCCAAAAAAAAAAACAATTTATGTCACGGCGGTGCTGTTTGTACGGATTATTGTTGTTTTACCAAAATCGATATTGAATGTCCACATGTGTTAAAGGCATTGCCAAGCCAGAAACATGTTGTGGAAAATATACTATGATAAACAAAAATGTAGGACACGTCATCGCTGTGGTCTTTATGCGAATAGAAAAACCTGTGTATTATAGTAACTCAGTAAAAAAAAACCACTCATCTTTATATTCAAATAATATTATACGAATATAAAAATTATTATCAACAAAATGTTTGCCAAAGATATATTTTAGTGCGAGAGTTTTTTTTTTTTTTAATAATTCTGTATTAATAAAGGTTATGATAGACTAGATAAAAAATTGAACTACTAATCAAGTATATCCTCCATACAATCACAATAATTAATGTAAAAATAATAATTTTAGAACTACACATAAAGTTTATTCAAAGAATATTGCCTACAACGAAATCCTTAAAATTTAGTGTATGCGGGGCATCCTCTTAACTTTCGACTTGACTGTTGGCAAATAATTACAGACAGGGTAATATAGAACCCGGAAAAAAGTTTTTCAGCCGAGTCTGCAACCATGAAAGAGCATTTTCCTGTCTCGTTGAAGTACCGGATAAATTTAGAGTAGTTGTGGAATTATAGCTACTAATAATATAGTATATTAAGAAGCAGTAACAAGCTAGTAGGTATATTAACACATCAAGTTTCTGGCTAATATTGTAGTGTTTACTATCTGGCTTAAAACAGTTCATAGAGAATTTGGGCCCTTAAACTATTTTAAATTTATCATTTAGTTCTAATTTGAACGTTGAACGCACAACATATCTCTTATCTCCTATATCTTAACTCTATCCCCTACCCCTTACCCTTATCACCTACCCCTATCTCCTACCCCCTGTATCATATCTCTTACATCTACCCCCGCTCTCAACCTTATTACCACCCCCAACACATCCCCATCTCCGTGTGGAAACGCTTTTTTGGTAACACTTTTTTCGGTTATGTGCCAGAGCTAAGATATGAAAATGTCAATAATAAAATATTGTCTTCTAAATTTTGTTAGATTAACGCCGAATCTACTTTACAAAAAACTTGTTTTTCAAGAAAAAAAACGCTAGTCGAAAACATATTTTGGTTTGCGGATGTGTTTTTAGTTCATTATTTGAACACGACACAAAACATGTTGCCACAAGTTCTTTTTGATAGCCAAATAAAAAATACAAAATTTAGGTCATCGCTGTGCCGTTTGTGCGAATCGTTGTTGATTTTGACTGTCCAGATGTTTGTATAAGACACAAACATGTTGTGGAAAATATACAAAGAATGTACGATAACGCCATCGCTGTGATTTTTAGGCGAATAGCAAACAAAAACACACTTGTAAAGCAAATATTTTCCGGAAATCGCACGGCTCGTGCGACTTGTTTTCCAAATGTGAGCACCTATTATTATTTGCTTAAAAGCCATAAAGTTATTTGCTTAAAGGCATTTTTGAGAATACATGTTTTCGCCTTAAAAGTTATTTATTATATTTTTTTAACTGACTTTTGCTTATATAAAGCTAAGTTGGAGCACACGATAGAAATCACATAATACAATAGTGATAATTTTCGTTGTAACTATTATATTGTACTTGTTTATAAACTTTATACTTTTTTTGTACATTTGGTCGACTTTAGAGGTAACTTAAAAAATTATTTCAATATTATTATAAAACTGCTAATCGTTGTCATGTGGTATTAATTCGAATATTTCTTTATTTTCACAGGACCTGATACAATGTCGAAGTACTTGTGTTTGGCATCTTTGTTGTTGGCAGTGGCCATAGTCAATTCGTTAGATAATCCGTTCCTTAGCTCGAAAACCCGATACTGCGATGTAGGGGGAGAAATTAGATTAAAAGATGGTTAGTACCACTAAACTTAGGTTTAATGTTGTCAAGCAGACTTATTATCAAATAATAAATATAAAAAATAAATTTATAAACATTAAAATTTACAAATAATGACATTTACTCGTAACCACTTGTAGTTTTCAAAAGTAAAGTACTGTAACATTTGAAAATTATCTAAAGCTCATGAAACATACACCAAAGTTGGTTATTTCTTTTAAAAATTCATAATGGCTTTCGTCGTAGGTATTTAAAAAGTATTTCATTAAAAAAAAAATCCATAGTAGCCGTTAGCTTGTATTTTTCCATTTTTATTTAATCATCTCAGAATTTTTTTTTAAATACTGTTTTGTAAATACTAGCATGTTCTGTGCATTTGAATAATTTATTAAAATATATTTCAAGTTAGAATTAATATACAATGTAGTTTTTTATTACATCATACAAACAATAATTCTGATTTGATTTTTTTTTCAACTTTATAAACGATATAAAAAATAACTAAACAAACAAAAAAATAAAGAGTGATCATTTTATCGTGAACCACTCATTATCTAATAAAGTTAAATAAGAATTTTTTTTCTCATAGTGTTTTAATACAAAGTGATCTCAATTTTTTACAACTTTTTTTTCGCCCCTTCGAAACTAATTATTTTTATATAAACTTTTGAAACTTAAATAATTACGCATATGTTTTATTAACTATTTAAATTAGGAATAATTTACCAAACATTTTGACTGTTTATTAACCAGTTTTGAATAACTTTTATCGACCAGTCAACACTTTTTGTACATTATTATCAATTTGAAAAGTTAATGAAATGGATGCATTACCATTTACGTTTTAAAAAATTGAAATAAAAATAATTAGTTTGAGAGGGCGGAGCAACATACACAAATTTGAGGAAAATTAAGATTACGTTGTGTAAAAAACAATGACGAAAAAACAAATTCAAGTATTAATTAAAACCAGTGAGATATTGAGTTGTTCACTATAAAATGATTATCATGTATAAATGGGTTTAGAGAAAAATGTATTCAAATACAGCTTTATGATTTAACGTAACCGTAACGCACTTAATTTATCTAATAGTAATATTTTTTTTCTTTTGGGTGACATTTTAGTGACTTTATGGTGATATTTTACAAAATAAAACAGTATTGAAATGTTTGCCTTTTTTAACTAACTGTTTAAACTCTCTTAACATTTTTTACTGGTCGATAATCAGTTTTGAAAAAAGGTTTGAAATGGTATTAAAGTTTTAAATTCATAACGGGAAGAAAGGTGGAGTGTAGTATTAATTATTCAACCACGTAACACTTCCCGTTCTACATGTTTAACTTAAAAGTAATTATTGAAACCTGGTGGTCGACCAGTCGAAATTCTCATCAAGTTATTCTTAGTACACATAACTTTAAATTCAATATATTAACTTAATACACATAAACGTTATCTTTAAAGTTTCAAAGGTCAATAGAGCTCTGGAAAATATTTAAGCATGAATAAAAACATTTTTACTGTCTAATTGAATAGGTTATGAAGTAACTAGGGTTTTGTTGTATGTTCGGCATGCGTCATCCTCATTAAGCGATAAAAAAAAAAATAGAGAATTGATGACAAGAAAACAAGACAAAATTAGAGAAAATATCAAAAAAAGGCAGATTAATAATCCCCAGTTAGAGGTCCCAGATCACATTCGAAGATTTTTGGAATGGAATCCGAATTCACTTCCAGGTTTAGAAACAGGTTTGCTTCCTGTTGGCAAACAGGAATTGAAAGATCTCGCATCTAGGTTATCAACCAAGCTTTCAGGAATATTTGGCGACCAAGATTATGATGCTAAAAAATTCCCGGTAAAATTGTCTGCAAAACATACTATAAAATAGGTTTCTATGTATTTAATTTATACATTATAGATATTATCAATGCCAGCAACGGAAGATGACGACCGTAATGTGCAAAGTGCCCGAGTATTTTTGAATGCATTATTTAAAGGAGGAGTTCCTGATGAAATTCCAACATGCGCAGACGATGACCTTCTTTTAATGGTACGTTGTATAACATTGCGTTGTATGAAAGCAGCAATTATAATTGTATGCTCTAGATGGAATACGCTAAAACAAAAGATCCAAAACTCGAAGAACATAAAGCTAAGTTTGAAAAGAAACAAGAAGAATATAAGAATGGTGATGATATCAAAAGTATGAGCACAAGATTTTCAGATAAATTATGGCTTGATACGAAAGATGTTGATTACAGTAAGTTGTTAAGACTATATAATTTACACCCAATAACCTCAGATGTCGGGGCTTTTAGCAAATAGTCTCTTTAAATAGTATATATTTGTTGTTAGGTTGTCTAAAAGGCACGTGGGAATGTTGCCGCGAGGCTAGAATAATTACACAAGATAATGACGCAACCCCTTGCCACTTGTTTGAAGAAAAGGATGCTGAAGTAATCATTCTTGTACCTTATTGTAAACAAGCGAGAACTGCAATTGATACTGACGAAATTTTTGCAGGTAATGTTAATACTCGATGAAATGTTTTGGTGGTGGTTTACTTCAGTCAGTGAAAGCGATTTCAACGGTAAAATGGCTTGCGGTGTGGCCGAGCATCTCTTATTGTTTTTGAAGAGGTAAAATGACGTTTTATGTACCGTTTTACGGCTATAAGCGGAAGCGGGTCAATTGTAATATTTTCATTCTGTTTTCCAGTGAGATACCAATTAATCCAATGTACTTCTTGAATCGGTCAAATATCGCAATGATTCATCAGGCCTTAGGCTTACACCCAAAAGAAGAGAAACTATTCACAACTTCGCATATCATGCCCTACATGGCAAACTTCTTGGCCGTCGTACTCGAAAAGGCCGGCAGTGAAAAATTGGTTGCCTTTTTTTTCAGCGAAAATCTAAAAACCATCGAATTGGATGACGGTACCCAGTGTGAATTTTGTTCACTACCCAAAGTAATTAAAAAGCTTGAAAAGTATCTTAAGACTCACGGATGCCAAGATCTCAAGTGCGAAGAGTGGAAGTCCGGAGATCCCAGGCCCGAAAATTTCAAAAACGATAAACCTTTCTATTCCATACCTAAGGATTGGGGGTTCATTGATGGACCCCATAATTAAAAATTTAATTATTTTTAGTTTTTTTGTTTATTAATTATTATTGCACGAGTTTTGGAATAATCCAGTATACGCACAATTTGATTTGTATTAATTAATAAAATGTTTTAAATCCAATAAATACATCCGTTTGATTCAAATATCTAATCACACGTGTATGTTTTATATAGTAGGTATTTACGTCCTTGTGGGTACTGTACATATACTTGTTCTTACTCCGTTATGTCATCATATTAGGTACCTATACTCGGTACGATTTTACCAAGATGTAACCCACTGTAACTTTGGAGAGCATCTGAATAGATTTACTGGAGTGAAACAAATTAGATCAGGAATTACATATGAAAAGTATCAGAAAGTTAAATAAGTAAATTTCGCCCTCCCTCCCAAAATATGTATTATATGTTAGCTAAACAAAGTTATAGTTATTTAAACAAGAAATATGCTGTAATTAGAATAACCTAATCGTCATATCATTTTTGGTATCGCATTTGATTAGAAAGCAAAATTAACAAATGGAGAATTTGCCATAACAATCTGATTTAAGCTGATTGCCTTACTAAAGAAATAGGGTTTTAATTAAATATCCGAGGTTTTAGTCTAACCTCTTCAAATAAATGGTGCCCAATAGCATTTTTAAAATTTCATTTTAATAAATTGTTCAAATAAGGTGTATTATCAACACATTTCCAATAAACTCGATAGTATAAAGAATGAAATAACAAAAATTACATAGACATTTTTACCGGGTTACCCAATCAATAAAAAATTGAATAATAGTTCGTTATGTGTGATTAAAAAATACAGTCTGGTCAAATATATATTTCAAACTTTAATATATACAGGGTGTAATGTAAAGTTCTACCGAGCTCCAAATGAAACATTCAGGATGATCTATGGGTACACTAAATGGTATTCATTTTTTGTAATTTAAAAATTATTTAAAACAGAACTCGTACCTCATTAAAAAATTGTCTTACGAAAAAAATAATTTCATATTTGAAATTGGGAGAAAAAATGTTGTTGAATTGATATGTAACATGATTTTTTGGTATCTGGCTACTCATACGTCCACAAGCTGGCCACCGACAGCATGTGACTAAAACCAACATATGGCATACGAGACATAATTAAATATAAAATTATTCTAAGGACGCCACTGAATTGAGAATAAAATTCTAACCCAAAATTATGTGTCACACCCCATATATTAATTTTGGTCACATGCCGGACACTCAGTAACCACTCGGTGGACGCAAGTGTGGCTAGATACCAAAAAAAACCAGTACAGTGGGGTCGGGGAATAGTGGGGACGGAGCATAGTTGGGTCGGGGCATAGTGGTGACAGGGAGGTCACAGGTTTACAGGAATTTTTAAATCTGAAAGTGATAAAATCACTTTCGAAAAAACGCTTCGATGCAAATCGGTAGTTAGTATTTTCAAGCCAGTACAGTCCAAACCAAGCACAGTATAAACCAGCAAAGTTAGAAAGTTTTTAATGAAGGTTCTGTATTTACAAATGAGCATCAAAGCGTTTATTTGAAAGCGATTTTATCCGAGAGGACTAGTACAGTAGAGTATTGGCATTATGTAATCAAAGCAATGAGGAAACGGAGAGGTCACAGGTCTACAAGAATTATTATAAATAAAAGTGATAAAATTGAATAGTTGCTATTCGAAGGAATTGGTCTAGTATTAAAAAGTTACAGTATGTACAGCTAAAAAAAAAGCCCACATCAGAGTAAGACCAATACCTTCTCGCTTTGCATCGAAGCTAAAATCGTGTTACATATCAATTCAACAAGATTTGTTCTCCCGATTTCAAAGCTAAAATTATTTTTTTCGTAAGACAATTTTTTAATGAGATACGAGTCCTATTTTAAATAAATTTTAAATTTTAAAAAAATGAATACCATTTATTGTATCCATAAAGCATCCTGAATGTCCCATTTGAAGCTCAGTAAAACTTTACATTATACCCTGTATATTTAACGAACAGATTTAATGAACTTAATTGTCCCGACCGAAGAAAATAACAAATTTAAACACAATTATAAGTATAATAATTTAAATACAATTTAATATTAACTGGGGCTGCGCAAAGTAAAGTCCAGTACGTTGTATTCTTTGAAAATATTGACTGGACAATATTATTTATGTATTCTACATTATTGGATATCTTATACTCTAGTTAATACATTTTATCATTATTGTGTTTATCTATTCAGATTCATTTAATAAATTAAATCACATAATGTAATTTTAAAAGAACAATTTTGTTCTAAAAAAACAATAATATATCTATAAAAGTTGTTGATGTAAGTATGGCTGCTCATATTATGCTACAACTTAAGCTGTATAATGCCAACAGATGTGTGTACTTTGTTAACATTGCAACAATAATTGAGAAAAATACTGTATTTTATGAAAACATATGGTTGGTTTTTGTACAAAACAGACATTTTAACTAAAATTCAATATGCAAACTAAATTGTAATATGAACAATAAGCGACAAAGGCCTTGCGTTCAGAGCAGATACAAGGAGGGATATTATACCAAAAGCCCCTTACTTCCTTCAAGTTAAACTATTATATAAAAGATTAGAAACAAGGGCGGATACTTGAGGAGAGGGCTATGATATTAAAGCTCTTCCCATACGTACTTGAATTGTTTGCATTAAAAGTGTATTTTAATGGCTATAATTAATTTTAATTATGTATATTTTAGAATATGTATTATTTTTACTATATAAACGCTTTAGCCATATTTTATAATATTTAAAGAGAATTTTTTTTCTAGCCCCTATTTTTTAATGCTACATTCACCCTGTGTTATTTATTTATTTAACGCCAATCGGCAATTCAAAGAGATACAATAACAAGTTAAGCACAAAAAAAAAAAAAAATACAATAATAATAGTGACTAAGGTGATCTTACAGAAAAATTATAAACATTAAATGCTATTGCACAATACGACTAAAAACTAAATAGCTTATGTTAATATATAATAATTCAGAATAACATGTACGGATCTAGGAGTTATTGAGTAGACGGAGCATTCTATGCAAAGGATGGTTATGAGAGTAGTTGGTACTGTGAGAGGGGACTAGGTAAAGAGAGTGATTTCTAGTATAATGCACGGGAACGCGGAAAGAGATAGAAGAGAGAAGGTCAGGGGCATCCACTGAGTTATTAAGAAGAGAGGTGATAAATGAAAGGTCAACATCTACACGGCGAGAAGTAAGACTAGGGATATTTAAGGAAGATCTAATGGACGAATAGTCATGGGGCGGGTGATCAATCTTGGGTGCCATATAACTGTTCCATATTCCAGGATAGAGCGGACAAGAGAGAAATAGAGGGAACGTAGACAAGTGAGGGATGTGAAAAGGGTAGTGTTGCGCTTTATGAAAACCAGAACTTTTAGGGCTCTACCAACTGCAATATTAATATGCTGTTCGAAAGAGAGAGAAGGAACTAGATGGATTCCAAGGTCTTTGACACAAGAAACACGATCAAGAGGAGAGCCATTGAGGGTATAAAAGAAGTTGATAGCAGTTCGCTTTCTATGGAATGTCATACTATGGCACTTGTTCAGATTGAGTGTAAGGCCAATACGCTGAGTCCAGAGACAAAAAGAGTCGAGATCTGACTGAAGTTGACGGCAGTCGGAGATGGAAGTAACTTTAGAATAAATTTTAATGTCATCAGCAAATAGAAGGACTTTGGAGAATGAAAGGTAACTTTTAATTGAGTTGATGAAAATGATGAACAGAAGAGGACTAAGATGTCCTCCTTGGGATGACCCTATGATGTGTTACATCATAGGATAATTATTTTACTAAAATTCTTGCACACAACTTGTATCGTTATAAATGTTTGTTTTTGTTATATTTTTACAGTCAAAATTCATTATTTTGGTAAATATATTTTTGCTCAAACAGTGATTTGAAATTAATACACAGCTTAAATATGACAGCAAAAAAAAACCTTGAAATATAAAACCATTCAAATTGTAGGATAATATTGTATATGGTCTTAAAAAAGTATTGCTAGAGTTTTTGCAAAAAAAAAACATATTATCTAAAAATGCCTGTAATACGTGTGACATATCACGGTATTTGCTAATATTATTGATACAACGAGATTCTACCATGCGAGAAATAAAATAGGTCAAACATTTAAACCCAAAACAACTGTAAACATAATATGTTAAGAAAAACAACTGGTTTTCGATAAAAAAAATAAGAAATAAATCTATACAAATTGTTTTTGTAAAATACGAAGATTTATTTATTATTCAAAGTTTGTGATACCCATAGAGCCTTACCATTTGTTTACATTACAACAGTTGCTGTGAAAAACAGCTCGGTTTTGAAACAAAATATCGGACTACATTTAACACGATAAATGATTTTACAAAACTACTTGTAATAAGTTTAATAATTATAAAACATTTCTGATTTAGGAAAACGCAATACATTAACTGTGTGTTAATTTTAAGAAAATAGGTACTCGCCCCGGTTATTATAACAATAACATTCTACAATGCATTCAAACACAAGCGTCAAAACAAAATTTGTTACAAAAAAATAACTCATGTTTTCAATTGTTTACACTGCCTCAATCAAAGCAGATAACAATTTACCTTCAATTTGAAAAATAACTACAATAAATAAACTATACATATTTTTTTGGAAAATTTGATAATTCTTACTATTGTAAAACATAAGAGATTGTAATAGAAAGCAAGTAAAAAAATGCTCTGATTTGTCTAACTCTAGACCTAGTACGGTTAATGTTAAAATACGTATTAATTGAAATTTAAAACTTGAAATACACAATATTAAAAATATTTTGTTTTATTATTTGTGTAACTAAATGTTTATACCATTTATTGTCTCGCATCTTAGAACACTGATGTTACAAATTTTCATTTACTAATTATTATAAATAGCGAACATAATGCTACCACTTTATTTTAGGCATAATGAAATAATAAACAAAAAATTACAAATATGTATTTCCTCAAACAGTGATTTAAAATTAGTAGGACCCGGTTATTTTATGTATTATGCGCTGTAGCCACTAATCACAGTAATATTGTCCATAAAAACCAAAA